GGGGGGGCCTGCGGTTCGGGGGCGGAGCGGCGGCTGGGCGGGAGGGGGCGGGAGGGGGGCGGGGGGGCTACGACATATCTCTAACCGCTCGCACTGTTGTTCGACGAGCAACTGAAGCCGCTTCACATTACGTATGACGCGGGGAGTTTCTGCATGCTCTACCGGAATTACCGGAAAAACCAGACGCAGGATGGCACGTTCTCCACTTGCCCGCGTCACTCGACGGAGCTGCAGCTGCCACGCGATGAGGTTTATGGCATGGCTACAATCATCTTCGAAGCCCCGCGCCCATTCCTGGCGCGTATACGTCTGCAGGTCGCCTGTCAGAAAAAGACGGCCGAACCGCAAAACATGCGCCGCGCCGTCGCTTTTTGGAAAGACTCGGGCTTTGTCCTCATCTTCTTCTGCAGCTTCATCTCGCCTGCGTTCGACTTCCCTGAACAAAGCCTGGAATAGGTCCTCCCTGGTAAGGCCCTTCCTGTTCGTGTTCGTGTTTAAAGGGTGTTCTTCGGTAGTGAACGAGCGCGAACACGAGTGAGCGAGCGCGAAAGCGATGAATTTCAATTTTCAGTCTTGACTGCCTCATGTAACACAGTGGCGGTCAGCAGTGTCCGAGTAGGGAGAGTCTCTGTGCAAGTTCTTTTCTTTCTGTGAATGCAGTTAGATCAAGCGTTACCACGGAAACATAAAAAAGGTAGAGGCGACACCGGCGTGCCTGCTACCTATCCTCAGAAACAGATTTGAAAGCTGCTTTCCATGCCTGCAAACACGCCTGAAACTGGCGCCGTCATGATTTTGATTATCAATGTCAACGCTGTCGATAAAGTCATGGCAAATAAGTGGGAAAGGCGCCTACTTATTCTTGTATAATTCTATAATGCATGTATCTGAAACTAAATGCCGAAGTGTGTGCTCCAAGAATCGCTCGGCCAAGCTCATAAAGCCGAAAAAACTCCATCAGAAGTAGTTTGTACTTTATACGAAAGTCGGCCGGTAGTTGTGTTTTCTTTCTAGCAAAGTGGATCTTTATATTCATGTAGATTAACGATGGTGGAAATTGTACAATAAAGGTAAGTAGTTCTCCGGACTTCTCAATCGTTTTCTTCTTTACAGAAAAACTATCCAAAAAACCAAATTTCTAAAGCCCCGGATCTGATAACCACTTCACTCTCCGTCTAGGAGTTCGAGAGATGCTTGTGCACAGCCCAGTTTCAGTGGAATTCCGGTCCTAGCGCGGTACTCATAAAAAAGACGCAGCCCCCTAGCGCAGTCTTCTGGAGCGACCTTCATACGACAAGCTACACAAAAAACCGACTGGAGGGAGGCAGTTCTGTGCAGGTAAAGAATAAATAAGCATCAAAAAAATGCACGACCCCGATACGTAGCTTTTCAAAAAATTCCAGTATCGTCATTTAAAGCCTCTTCATCACCATGACTACGCTTTCTTCACGCACCTGGCTGAGCACATGAGCTGCGCAAGAAGCAAAAGTCGGCTAGATGCTAGCGCCATTTCTACTGACTGGCGTTTACTGCAGCACAAATCTCCGGAAGTGGTTCCAGTCCGCCACACCTACGAGGTGCATGTCACTTGTTTTCAGTGCATGCTGCAACTCCCTCCATCCAGCAAAAGTTTCGTACACTACCTTCTTCCAGTGGTTCAGCTGGTCAACCATCACTCGCTGTTCTTCCTCGCTGTACCTGCTCGCCTCGTTCCGCGCGAATGAGTATGGGCTGCAAACACGTCCTTGTGAATTGCAGCGGAAAGATGCTACGTGTATGATAATCTCAAGTAGGCAGGCGGAATTGTGTCATGCACGAGACCTTTTTAGCAAGCGCGCGATCACTGTGGGAGTACAATGCAAATGCTGAAGTGCCTTCATGATGAGTAAAGTATTCTTCGCTGCGTGCTAAATTTGGATCAGCTAGACTCAACAGTACTTCTGTAGGAAAAAAATGCCTCGGCATCAAAAGTATCCGAGCATCTTCCAAACCACGGGAAATGCTTGCCATCGATAGCCTGACCCCAAAGGTCGTCGCATAGCGCCACTTCGCCATGGCCTCGCGGACATTTTCCTGGTGCACAACAACGCCGCGCTTCTCCGCTCGCTCTTGGTCTGCGTCAAACACCGCGGCCAAATCGTGCTGCCCCATCAAAATCGCAACATAAGCAGGCAACTGCAGCTCGTCTTTCAGGTGCGGAAAAGCCGCTCCAGGCATCGTGACGTAGCTGAGGTACTGCTTCAGCGTCAGGGTGAACAGGTCTTCACCCGCGTCACCATCCGGATTTGCGAATAGGCGGCGATGAACTTGAAACGCAGACGTCTTCATCTTGCCGACAAACGACTGGAAACGCGCTTGCCACAGCACAAGCAGGGCTATTGATTCCAGTAGCGGCCGGCTCTGCCGGTCTACTAGTCTTCTCTTCAAAGAGTCCCTCGGAAAAAGTTCCGCAAGCGACGTCGACAAAAGCAAACCTTTATCTACACCATCCCAGACCCGCGCGAACAGTGGCGGCGCTCGTCCCACATCCGCATTGCCGTTTTGATCAACAAAGTGATCGAAATTTTCCAAGAAATACTCCTTCCACAGCTCTTCTCTGTCGGAACGCGGTGGATAGTTTTCCCATAATAGATCCGCAACCTGTTTCGAAACTAACTTGTCCGCGGCTCCCTCAGCGTCATCACAAAGAAAACGAACAGCAAGCTAAGCTATATCATGCTCCATCATATTTGAATTGTGCTGCTATGGGCTCACTATTTTTCGCGCTGCATGATTCTGAAATAGGAATACTCATCGATCTGTTTTGCAAAACGCAGACAAAAGTCCTATTCTCAGAACTAAAAAAACAGCGTCGAAGCCTTGCTGAGACTAAGAGAGCGTCACGTTGTAATCTGAAATAAACATCACGACTAGGGGGAATGCTGGAAAACTGTCATGCTAAAGTGGAACTCCTTGCTTTTGTTGTTGCCGGTCATTCCAGGCACGGCCTATTGGATCAGTGATCAGTTATGGCCATGCTTTTCTTTGTGATACGCCCACTCCTCGTCGAATCCGCGCAGCGAATTCCAGTGACGCTTTGCGCCGTTCCAGGCGAAGCCGTTCTTCGCGTCTAGCAAGTGTTCGTCGATGTGGTCGCGCAGCTCTACAATATTCGCGTGCCCCTCTCGTAGAAGGGCATTCTCTTTTGAGGTGAGCCATCCTGTTGCCACAGAGTCGTATTCCAGGAGTTTGATTCTAATGTTGTGGCCCTGCCTCTCGTGGTTCTAGTGGTAGTCGTCAACAATTTGCCAGAGTGTCTGCTCAACTCTTTCCGCGACCTGAAAGTCGCGGCTGAAAGTTTGCAGGGCCGCCACATCGTTCTGCCCGCGGTATTCTGCTGGATGAGCAGTGGCCACAAGGGTCGAGTGTTCGTCAAAGATCTCACGGATGCGTCTCGCCAAGTTCGCCTCATCACCGCGGCACAGCGTTCGAATCTTTCGGGCGAAGCGCTCCCTGGGATTTTCGTTTTCGATCTTCAGCTTCATTACTAGTTGACCCGCATAATCTATGCGAGGGCGGTTCTCCTCTTCCAAAGCAAGCAAGGAGTTCATTCCGCAAGTGTTATTCGTGGAGTTATGCAAGAGCCAAAGCGTGCGTGCTAGTGTAGGTCTGTGATGCGAAACATGCAAGGGGGTTGCGCCTGTCATTCTTGCTAAGCGTCGTTGGACATTCATATGCGTTTTCCCATGCCGATTATCTGTGCATGAGAGATTTGCAATGCTCGCCTCCCAAAAAAGTGATACAACTAGCCACACTTTGCTTTCCTCCATATGAGTCCGTGTCCAGCCAATACCACTGAATCTCATCACCGGTCTATCCTGAGTCAAAACGTCTCCACCCCATACCTATAATTTGTCATGCTAGTAAACAGAAGTGCGCCGCACCTTGCGTCCCCCTGTACAAACGGCCACAGATGCCTGTCACGCTGGACAGGTCGGTCAGGGGGACACCGAGACACCACTCCCATATTTGTCGTGGTAAACAGAGACATAACTCCACTGGGAGCGCAAATTTGTCATGCGCAACAGCCAAACCAGATTTACGATCTTGGCAATGGGGTAGAGACGTTTTTGTTGAGCATATGATCGGAGACTGGGGATCTATAATCGCCTCGTCTGCAGACATCCTTCCGCACTCTCCTTCTGTCTTCAGTATCTTGCCCTCCTTAGAGTCAAGGTACCGGTAAAAATCAGAATGAAACGCGGCGAGAGCCGCGCCGTTTTCGTTGCCACTGTTACTCGGAGAAGCTGGCTGTGGTGCGGACGGTTCGGACGCACCTGCGGGCTGTTGGTGTTCCTGCTTAGCGTTAGGATCGCGCCGCGCCGCCCGAGGCGTAGCTCGAAATTCCAAAAACGCAGCTGCTCCTTCCTGTCAGTACTGCTCCAGCCAACGAGGCGGCTCCGCTTCCAGCAGCGGCGCTTGATAATTGTACAGAAAGGGAACCCGCGAAGAGCTCTGGGAGAGATTGAGCAATTGCTCTTTCGACTCATTTTGTATCTGAGACTGGTGCTGTTTCAACTTCTGCGCGTGGTCTTCTTCCAGTTCATGCTGCGCTATGTAACTGTCGACGAAAGTTCCAACCGCTCCAGCAAACAGCCGCTGCAACTCAGTCTCTGAATACATCAATTCTTCGCCACGACCATTGCTAGCGCGATGGCCCGTTTTCTCTCTTCCAAGCTCGTCGGGCTGTAGAACGACCCTGTACTCCAGCAGCGGTTCTTGGCGGTTATGGTCGCCAATGGATGCAAACAACGTAGACCAATTTGCATTTGGCTTAAGGCGCTCCGGGTGCGTCGCTATGTCCCGTTTCCGTTCCTCGTCTAAAATCGCTTCAACACTGCTTGAATGTTCCGGCGCTGGCGCGCTGTCGCCGCCGCCGTCAAACTCTGGACCTGACATATCCACATCGTCCGTGGTGTTATCTCCTGTGGGATGGCCAGGCTCAGTGTGGTGCCCCGCAGATTGCTCTTCATTAGCTCTCGCCGAGTTGTTGGCACCCCACAGAGCATGATCCGCGCCCCCAGTGAAGGTTGGAGGCACTTGGCGATCGCCTCCCAGCGCAACCGATCCACATCCACCAGAAGCAAACTGCTCCGGGTCTTCAAGTCCTTTCTCAGAGACGAGGGAAAGCGTATGCATCTTGGCTGCCAACATTGCTGACTCAGTGTCCAGCCCTTCTCCCGGTCGCAGAGAATCGTCGCTATCCCCCTCCGCGCCCTCGTCCTCATCGCATTCCTCTCCTTCTGAAGGAGGCAGAGAATTGTCCGACTCGGCGACCTTGTCCTCCTGGCAATTAACACGGCCTATCGGCACCGGGTCTAGCTTCTGTATCTTCGTCACCTGGAGGTACCCAGCAATGGTCTTCTTCGTCACTTCGTCCGAACTTCCTTCGACGATACCTAAGACGACGGGCACTAGCCCGAGTCGGGCATCTGCTAAATTTCCCTTCAGACTTTCTAGGTTTTTCGCGACATCTGCTGCTTTGGGACCACCCGGCCCGAAGACATATCCTTTCGGCAAGATGCACAGGAGCCTGAGCAACTGAGTAGCTGGGCTCGCTTGCTGTCGTTTTCGCGCCAAAAGCCCGAGGTCCGACATCCTTTCCAAGCTGCGGCGGTACAGATCGAGGGTGATTCTATGAAGATCAACCATCTGCAGTTCGGGACCAGCTTCTTCCTCACTCTGGAGAAAGCGGCTCCAAGCGAATTTACTTGAAAATTTACGCAGTCTCATCGCCCACGCGATGCGGGCAGCGAATATCCACCACTTCCTCCTTTTTACTGCAGTAATATCTACGCCTTTTTTGGGCATCTCGGGGCGCAGGTAAATATCACTCCCGCTCGCCGCATGAGGATCGGCAGCCCGCCCTCGAGCAGGTGACAATACATCTGGAAAATGTCTTCTCACAATTGTTTGCAGCTCAAACAGTGGCCCAAGGTCATTTTCGTGTTCTGCGAATAGCGCATCGAAAGCATCTTTCAGGTCCTGCGACTGAGGCCTCGGCTTCGTGAGAACCTTGTGGTGTAGATGCTTTGCCAGTTCCTCCATGGACTCGATCTTTGCGACCCCATTCTCAAAGTCCGCTCCTCCCTTCATCTTGTCTTTGAAGTACTTGGTGTTTAAGGCCTGGTCTTGAAGCAGCTCCGCAAATCTCACCAGCATGGTCCGTGTTCTAGGCGTCCTCATCATTTCTAGCATCTTCTGCTGGAATTCCGCAACGAAGTCGGGATGGCTCGTGCGAAGTTGTAGGAGTACAACTTCTTGGGAGTTTCCACCGGGGCCGCGACTGGCGAAGATACTGCCCCATAACTCCTCCGCTGCGAGGCCACGCAGCTCATCCATACTTACTTCACGCTGGGACACGTCTACCGGCCCATCTGGCTGGACAGCGAGGGGATGAGTTTTGTCTGGGTCGGCTTCGCGGCCCTCTTCTTCGGCCCGCCCCCTCTGTCGAACGGCGGCATTTGTATATGCTTCGATCGCACTGGCAATTTCCGAAGCGCGTTTCTCGTCCGTCTCATTGGCTTTAGCAATCTCAAAGAATGCTGCTGCCTTGTCGGGCTTCGCGTGCGCGTCGACAGTGCTCTCGAGAACGGTGTCTAGCACAGCGCGCAACGGCTGAGGCAGAGTAGAGGACAAGTCGCTTGCCTCCGCGAGGCCCCAAGCTTCTTTCCATCGTATGAGTACACTGTTGAAGATGCTGGCGTATTCCCTGTGGTCCCGAAAAACCTCCAGTGGAATTGCGGGAGGCTCTTGCGCGGGCGCAGCGATATGCTGATACAATGCACGTGCATTCGCTACTCCTGCCAGTGTTACAGGAACTTCTTCCCCCAGCCTATTTTCGGGAACCACAAGGGGCTTATGGGTCACCTCGAAATTTTCCTGATAACTTCTCCCTAGTTGGTGCGTGTGCACTGCTCCCCTGATCTTCGTTGTTGTAGTTCCTGGGTTTACAACGGCATCGCCCGACACCTCTGGCTTCTGCTGGAACGCACTTCGCCTTTCCGCCCTTGGCGCCTGCGCGGTCTTCGACAAGCCAAGGTAGGTGAGCTTCTTTTTCCTGGCGTCAAAATCAGCGGGAGAAGCTTCGTGCGATTCCTCTATTGTCGGCGAGGAGAATCGCCGCGGGGCGCCGCCCGTGGCGTCCTGGCTTCGTGGTAACTGATCTTCGTCCATCGTGACGCCCATGTCCTCGTCTCCGCCGACTGAACTTGCACCGGAAGACAGCGAATAGCAGGCCGCTGGGTGTCGCACGCCACGGGCAGCAGAGGCTTGGAACATAACCCCCGCGTCGCCGCCCTGATCGCCGATGTTTTCCTGCTGTGCCGCCTCTTGTTGGCCCACCACCTCTGCGTCTTCATCGCTCGCAACGCCAGCACTTGTTTCTCCTACAGAGACACCTTGACTGCTGCCCTCAAACGAATTAGGAGGGTCTGTTTCACATTGCTGACGCCCGAGTTCGACCACTGGTGTTGGGTCGTTGGCTTTTTCTTGCTGCTCGCGAGCCCGGCTGTAGTTGATCTCCATCTGCTGGCGAGCCACGGAAGTCTTTCCATCATCGGCCTTTTCGAAAATGTGGACAAGCTCCTCCAGCAGGCACAGTGAGAGCTCGGAGGGTATCAAGCGAAAGAAAAAACCCGCCCCATAAGTACTACTTATAGAAAAATTTGCGTGGCGTTCCATGGTTTTTTCGCAACCGGGATGCTTCCGATCATGACCTGTGCATGCAAGTGACCTCTTTGTGTCCGAGAGCCCTACCTTGCAGGGGGAGAACGAGCGCGGTGGCAACAAATTAGCAAGTAAGCCGCAAGAATTCGCCTTTTCAACTATGACACAACAAAGCTGCCCTACCCACCACAGTTATCGTGCGAGGCAGTGTCTATAAGGAAAGGACGCATCAAGTCTGAGGAGTACTGAGCCGAGCTACTTACACGATTTGTGATCTAGCAAATTCTTTTGAGTATGGAAATGGGGGGTCGATTGCTTGCAGTAGTGGTGATGCGTCCGAGAGCGCTTCGCACGCTCTGCTCGGCGTCTTGCGCAGATCGGCCAGTGGTCTGAAAAAAAAGCGCGTCCGCGTATTCCAGGACTTCAGGTCCCTTCTCTAGTGCGAAATACTGCACAAAAAGATCGCGCAGTTCAAAGAAGCGATTATTTGGTCGTATCAAATCTTTTTTCGGGATCTCGCCAACGCGGGTCTCGTGCGCGACCCAATGTTGGGCGAGGTGGTGCAGCGCCAAAGTGATTTGCTGAGCTCGGCCAGACTCCAAGACACGCTTCGCTGTTTCCCAAACGAACTTACGCTCATCCAAGCCGAGCGACTCACAACGGCGAAAGACGTACTGCGAAACTGGCAAGCGTCCCTCTTCCTCGGGAGAGATTACAGGACTTCCGGGCGCCTTATCGCCCGGGTCGTCGGGTGCACAGCCTTTGTTTTCTTCCGAAAGGCAGGAGACATCGACACTTTCGGAATCCGAACCCGAACTGCCGTCCCTCAACATCTTCGTGTATTTGCGGCGTTCCGAGACTGCCTGTTCATAACGGAATTTGCTTGTCTTCTGGGAGGAGTTTGAGATCCCCGGTGGGTTGCGTTCAGCCTCGTGTGTCAGCCCGCGCCAGATCTGCAAGATGCATTCGTATTCTTCAGTATGCAGGCCATATCAGGCGATGGGAAGTACTTTCCGAAATGATTAGAGTGCGATGCAAAATCAAAAGTCGAAGTCTGAGCAGTCATCTTAGTGAAGAAGTCTGCACGTCGTCGGCATGATCACGAATGAAGAATACCATAAAGAGCAGTCGATGGGTCGGAAATAACACACTCACGCTAACGCACAGTGTCAAAAATCATGCTCATTGTGGTATGCTCATCTACTCGCTTTCATGAATATTTCCCACTCTGGACCACTTCCATACGCTCTCCCTGCCGCTCGTGACTTCAGGCGGTGCTGCTCCGGCAGGAAACTTGCCGCGGCGCGGGCGAGATATTGCTGCCCTGAGGCTTTTTCAAAAAAATGACTCGGGTAATGGTGGTAGTAGTGCTGAAGCTTTTCTTTCACCTTCGCTTCTCGCTCTTCCGGGTCCTGATCTGCACCCTGGCCCGGTAATTCCGGGTCCTCCGTCTTCCATTCCTCGTGCAACGCGGCCCAAAAAAAACTAGGCAAAAAGGTCCGGGCAGTGTTGTGCTTTTTGATGCGCAGCCACCGTTCCAACATGAATATTTGGCTTGCCGTAATTTTCTGATTCCATTTTTTCTTGCCATCCTCAAAATACTTTAGCAGACTGGCGGAGGTCAGCTGTAGGTGCAAGGTCGCCTTGAAATACTCCTGCAGCTGCGTTGTTGCATACCGTTTCCACTCCGAAACTGCAGGTGACGTGAAGCACGCGCTTTCCAACTCGGAAGTGCGCGCGTTTTCTCTTAGGGGCTCATCGGCACGAGTGCGCAACCCCTGGGCAATGCCACGCGGCGATGCGACAGGATCGCCATCGGGAGCATGAGCCGTTTCATCTGTGACGCCGGCAGGCTGTTGCTGCGTCTGCGCAATCCATTCAGAGACGCACTTCATGCGTTCTTCCCTGTTCTTCGCGCTTGTTTCGAACAGTGCGCGACTCTGCGCGGAAACCCCTTCTGCTACGCGCTGCCTATGTTCATGCAGGAACTGCTTCTGCAAGTGCTCGGAGATGGTCTGAATATCCTTCAGCGGGATTGTCAGGTCCGGAACTTGCCCGGTGGGCGCAGTCAGCGTCTCCTTGCAAAACTCGTTGATCAACTTGAGCGGGCCGGGCACGTCGTAAAAATCAAAGAGAAGACGCTGCCTGAGTTCGGGGTACTCGTCGGTCCCGGCATTCGGGCCCATCGCGCCACTGGGAGTGGGTGCTGCCACGTCCATTCCTTCAACTTGCCAGCCACCTTCGCTCGTGGCGCCGCCTTGGACATCATGGCTCCCGTTTTCGTCCTCGCGGAATGCAAGCAACCCCCGGTCAGCCAAGTATAAAGCGTAGAAAGTGCGCTCCAACCTCTCAACAAGCTCGGCGTCTTTGTTCTCGTCCTGATTCAATGTCACACGGCCTACCCCAGTTTTGTGTAAGTTGGCGTGCGCAACGAGCTCATCCCAAAACCTGTAGCTGTCGCGCGTCCCAAACACTTCTCCATCACCGTCTGCTGCAGAAAGAGACTGCAATGGACGTGGTCGCTTGCTGCGCCAAGATTCAGGGGAAATGTAGCCGGACTGGCGAGCATGGACCAGCAACTCATTTTGTAAATTTACCACCTCTTGAAACGCCTTTTCCATTTTGCCACCTAACCCAAACAGCTCCTGCAGGGTTTGACTCCAGACCTTGTTGAGATAGCGGCTCCGTGGTTCAACGCCCGCTCCTGAAACGCGAAGAAAGTCGACGCAAGTCGTATTGCTGTCGCCCTCTAACGCTGGAAGTGCGTTCTTGTCGGCGGCGAGCTGGATCAAACATGCGGCAGCGATCTTTCCCGCGCGCAAGTCCGTAGCCGTAAAGCCGCCGTTTCTCTCGGGACCTTGCGAAGCTAGATCATCGAGCACAGCACCAAATGCTTTGCGTGGGGAGTAGCGGCTTGCCTCGAGGCATTGGGTTAGATGTGACCACAGGCGAAGTGCCGGGAAGATTAAAGTGGGTCCATTCAGCGCTCTGAAGAGCTGCATGCGCCAGTTTGTCGCGTTACTGGAGAAGGACCCAAATAAAGTGCCAAAAATTTTCAGAGGTGCAACCTGCTTTACAGTACTGTCCGAGAGATGGCGATTTCTAGTAGCCTCAAGGCGCGCCCGAACAATGTTTTCGATTTCGAAACCCCTTGCCAAACGGCTCTCGATTTTCTGCTCGCTTTCTGCCGGGTCGGGCCAGTCCTGAAACGCTTCGCCCTCCGCCTTTTTGTTCTCCTCCAACCATTGGTGGGCCCGTTTTGGAGGTCCTTGCACCTTCAAGATCTTGGTCGCTGCGTCATGGAACGGCTTCAGCATCGCCTTTTGCGCGTCCGGGCAGTCGGGAAGCACTGGGCGCACGACGCGGCGAAGGGCCTCGCGCTCCCAATACCTCCGGTGCTTCGTTGTAGTGAAACTTTGAAAATACGGAAGGTAGTCTGCGACGGAGCTCGTGCGCACCTCAGGCTTATTGGTTGCCAGACTGGGGTTCTCATACACTGAGGCAATCTTGGGGTCGTTCGGGTCGTTGTTCCACGTCGCGCCGATCTCTGCCTTTGCCTCATTGTCAAGGCGGACGACATCCCGTAGGTCCACTGCCTTCTCGATATTACTGGCAACGTGCTGAAACACCGCGGCTATACCAAGGGCCGTCAGATCTACCCCGTCTTCGCTGCGCAACCGATCCCGGAAAAATCGCACGTCGAGCAGCAGATCCTCACTCGCAGCAGAGAGATGAGTCAGCTCATCTACTGCGGCACTGTGACCAAAGGCACGAGCGTCACCGCCGCTTGATCCAGCTGGCGCAGATAGACTTCCAGATTCCGCGGAGCTTCTACCTGGTCCAATAACGATGTCCGTAAGCACACGGCTTGCGTGCACGAGCGCCAAGAGTAGCTGCCGCTCCGTACGCCCTACGTCGCGCCGGGGCCCCCAAGAGTACAGACGGGAGTAGCTGTAGTCTCTGCGAGCCACAGTTTCCGGCCGAGTCAGGTCTTCTTCGGGCGTGAAGTCGTTCTCTTTCAGCGCGCTCTCGCGTCGGTCTTCCGGTAAACTTCGCCGGGCCCGCGATGAATGGCGCTGCCAACTAATAGCCGCTCTATCAAATATCCCATCATTGTCTGCCAACACGTCTCCCGTGGGGCCTTCCTCCCTTAGCGCGTCCAAACTCGACCCGCGTGATTCTCCAATGCCCCTGACGTCGATGAAGTACGCTGTTCCGTACACCAACTCGTTGCTCAAGGTGCCGATCTTTCTGGGGTCGTCAGCGGGCAACTCGTTGCCATGTGCATCCGTCATTTCTCCGTGACCTCCGCCAATCCTTCCGCCACAAACAGTGCAAAGGCGCCCATCGTCATTCCCTAAACCACCACAAGCACCGACATGTATGAACCTCCTGCAGGCTCTGTGGCGGACAATTGAAGTAATTCGTTCGATTTGAGACCTTCCGTCACCGCGATAATGCCTCGACTTTGTTTCGACCTGAGACTGATGCACCGTGTACACCTCCGCTGCGATATCCTCGGAGCCAGACATTCCAGGCAGCCAGAGATTGTCGTAATTCGTAAGTTTCGTGGGGCTCAGGGCGTGCAGCAGAGATATTTCGTGGTCGGTAGTAATAGCATCCATCTGTGGAAGCAGGTGAACCATCGCCAAACGCAGCACGAACGAGATCGCAGCAAGCCGGTCGTCGGCATCCCCGTCAAGATGCGTCCCTTCCACTTGCGCTGCTGATCCTCGTGCGGAAAGTATCGCAGAGAAAAGCAAACTCGTCAGATCAGATCCAGTACATTTTGTTCAGGCCGAACAGAAATACGAAGCGACCCGCTCTTTCCTTTCGCAACCCGCAGCCACCTTCTGCAATTAGCGGGTCACGCGGACTCCGAAGCCGCATGCTTTTTGCTGTCTTAGCGACGTGCTAGCGGCTCGTGCATTCCAGACCGCTCTTCGGGCACAGCTCTACAGATATTTCTTGTGGATTTTTGCATTGCCGACTGCTAGTCCGAATTTCAGCAGTGTTCGTTTAACATGACAGAAAATACGTCCCGATTTGTCAGCGTTGCGCTACTACAGCAGGGCACTCAATGCAAAACATATCTAGTATCGAAAACGCAATTGATCGAGGCAGCTCTTTTTGCCGGTAGGGTTTGCTTTTCTATGTGATATGAGACTTGTGAACAACCAGGTGACGTTGCGTCGCAACCCCACCTGTTGAACCAGATTGCGCAACTTGCTCCTGTAGACCGTCGGCGTCAACGCCGTCATCTGGCGGGAACGTGATTTCGCACTGTATCAAACTAAAAAAACCTCCCCCGCCCTGGAACAGAGAAGAAAAATTGTCGGCATAATTCTGAGCATGGCTAGCGCTACATACAGTCGGTCACAGAAGAACCATGGCAATTCAACAGACGCGTGCTGAGTAGTCCTTGGCACTGCAGCCACCACTCGCCTACAAGATCTGCACGATAACAGAATAGTACGACGGGTCGCCCTCGCTTGGAAGTGAAAAATGCCTGATAAGTACCTGAACGTCTTGGAAGACAAGTCAACTCGATTTTGTGCACATGTTCAGGTGCGAGCCAGCTTCCTTTGAGCAACATGCCCATGGGGACGGCGGGGGGCTTTTACTCATGATACCCTGGGCCCAGCTTCGGCAGTAGTTCAGCACACGGCGCAATCCAGATGAGATGTCAAGTTTTTCCTTTTCAGCGGAGCGTTTGATGATTTCCCAGATCTTGTCGAGCACCGTTGGGCTTGGGCTCACATTGTGATGAAATACGTATCGTTGCACCGCCGCAAAGCGGACAGCACGCCAGAAGGGCTGGTCCTGCTCCGAGATCATCTCTTTCCTGATTTCGGGTTCCATGGCCTTCTGAAGCCATGGCAATAGTTCAATCTCGTTGTCCTCGGAAAGCGCAGCATCCAAAGCTGTCCAAAGCACATTCATGCTGACATAGGCTGTGTTGGCGAAATTTTCATCAGAAGAGGCGCCCGTCGCTTGTTGACTGGACAACCGCGAACTGCTAGATCCGGTTAGCTGTGCGCCATAGTTTACGTTTTCGGCCGGGCATGCTGTGTCCGCTGCTACATGAAAAATTCCCCCAAACACATCCGGCACCACAGCAGCAGCAGTAGCGCCATTTTTGTTTCGTTCGTCTAGTACTCCCACTGCAAGCCAGTCATTCCTTTGCAGTAAATTTACCAAAAAACTGAGGTCGCTTTTTTCTCGAATCAGGCGGAGAATGCGCCCCTGCAGGGCCCGTCCGTACGTGCGATCCTGCCAGAGCTGACGGGCCTCGTCAGCCAAAAAACTTTGCTCCCCATTCTCGGAAGCAGATGGCAAGGCGCTCAGGTTAGAGTCCAGCTTCTGTTGCAAAAGCTCCTCCGCTACTGCAAGCGATCCTTGGTGCAATTGAGCCTGGAATTTGAGAACCTGGCTTGAGGGAATGTGTGTGACCTGCTCGTTTAGTTGGGCTAGCGCGGTTTGAATATTCGTTAGGTGCACCGCAATGCTGTTGGATGAATTGTCGTGCCTCGTGGGCCGCAGGAGGTGGCGCTTATCACTGAGAAAAGAGCTAGCACAGTAGACCTGTATATACAAGACTGAATACGTCGCAGCGGCATCGGCCGTTAGAAATAAGTGTAGTTGATGAGCCTACGCAGGCACATTTCTGTCGAAGTGTGGTGCTCGTTGCATTGTTGTACATCCATGGTCATGGATACAGTGCCTATGCTAGCCATTTTCTCTCAGGTATGCGGTTTGGGCCGCATACTCCTGCTCATACGCCTCTGAAACTGTATCAAATGGAAAAGAGCACCCATTCAACATTTGGGAAAATATGCTGCATTGCACTTAAATAGAGATTAGCGGCGCAAAAAAGGCCTGTCAAGAGCAAACCCAAACTGTTTGCTTTCGGTGCCCATGCATTCATATCTTTTCCACGAGGACATAAATGAGTCAGTGGCGCCAAGAATTTCCTGTAAACATTCACTCATACTATATCCCCATCCAGAATGGGCGCGGTTGCGGTATTTGAATCGATAGACGGCGCTTTGCAAAAACTTACTGAAGAGCCGCGGGTTACGCGGTCCACTTTGTTGTTGCAGACTATTGTCAAGTCGTGTCTGCCCGGCTTTGAGAAGCTCGAGCAGCTTTTTCACGAAGTACTCGAATGCGGAAACGTCGTGGATCGTTTCGTCCATATCGCTGTCGCTGCTGGTCCCGTCGCTCTCTTCGCTCTCTTCGGCGTTCGATCTTATTAGACTAGCTGACCCGAAACATTGTTGTGAATTATCCGAGCCGTTTGGTTTGCGAGTGCGTCGTACAGTACTATCGTGCAGACCTTCGAGAAAGATTTTCGCGGTCAGCAAACGCATGAGGGACCCGCTTTCCTCGTCTTCCATCCGTTCAAGAAGGGTGCACACAGCTTTGGGGTTCTTTACCAAATATTCAAGCAGCGGGCGAGATTTCTCGCCGAGGGACAACAAGCGAGCAAAGAACTCTCGCAAGATGCTGGGCGGAAAGACCGTCTCCTTCACCTGCGCCTTGCCACTTTCACGGCTGTCATGCGCGTTGTGTAGGGCAACATCGGCTAACGTCGTGAAAAGCCCGACAACAATTTTTGGGTCACTTTCCATATCGATCAATATCCTGTTCAAAAAACGCCATGCTGCCCTCACCTAATTTGAAATGAGCACGCCTATTAGCTCTGTGCCTGCTTAATCTTAATGAGAGCCGGATTACAACTTCGAATAAAATGAAAACAGCCGCTACGTGGAAATCGCCACTCGGGAAGGTGAAGGTGAAGGTCCAGCCTCCATTTTGCATGACAGCTGGCACCGGAACTTTTCAGCCAGGAAGCTGGGCTTCATAGAAAACTGATACTATGTTTACATCCAGTTAGAACTGTTCCGAGCATATAACATATCAAGCATCTCCACTTCTACCCGACCGAGAGCTCCGCGACTTGCACGATAAGTAAGTGTTTAGGTGAGCTAGCATCGGAATTTGATGGCGAGGGTGAGCATGGGGCAAAGCATAATGAGCACTCCATCTTTATCATGTCCTTTGAGCACGCGAGACAATGTAGCCGCGTCGCGTCCTGCGTTCGCGCCTGTGGAGGGCTGCGTCCGCTGAGCGTGGGTGGTTGTGTGCAGAAACACAGCCCACTTACTAAGCTCCAACTCTGCTTCCTTTTCGGCGGAAGTTGCATTGTCCTCGCTGCCCAAGATTGTCTGCGGGGGAACAGCGGCGCGCAGGCCGGGGAGAAACGCCCACAGATGAAATTGCAACCAGAACTCGAATTTCCGCATCATCACCCCCAACGGTTGGGCATCGTCGTTCTTGCCGGTCGTCGACATTGTCCGTTGCCGCGTCGGGTGCATCGATTCCGACTTTAGTGCTCTGGGGGTATGAACATTCCCGCCATCGCCAACGGGAAGCAAGTCCTTGCTAAGAAGTTTGAATAGCTGCTCCATGCGGGTTGTATGGAATGCCAACAGCTCCTCAAAACGGTGGGGATAGGCGCTCATCAAGGCATTCATATCAGGCTGAGCATTTTGTGCGGAGGACGCGGAACCGGTTGGGACAATCGACACAATCGCGGCGATCGCGATGTGATCGTGGGCTATGCTGAGGGGATGCAGGACTAGCGAGTCTCGAGTGAGGTCGCGCCACGCAGGATCTTGCTTAGCGTCCGCCTTCATAAGGTTCCGCAACACACGGCTGGCGAGCTCCTTTCGCCAGGCCTTGAGGCGGTCGCGGGGATCGGTCTGGCCATGGTCGCGAGGTGATGCTGCAGCTTGGGGTTTTTGTTGCGGTCGGTGGCGCCCCGCGAAAGCTTCTTTTTGTTTTTGCCCTTTCACTCCCTTCTCGCCCACCACTCCGGCCTGTTGCGGTTCTGGGTCGTTCAACAAGTTCACCTGTTCACGTACGGTGACACGAAGGAATCCGAGGTACATTGCGATTGCGCGCAAGTCATCAAGGAACAGACGGTACACAAATACATGATCCGCGAGCTTCATAACTAGTTCCTGCAGCGTGATGTCTCGGACGCCGGTGGTTATGCCTCCTTCTCCTTCTACTGCTGCTCCGATCTCGCTGGTTTTAGCACCATGCTTGTTCAGTGCAATAGCTTCACCTCTAAGCAACTGTCCCAGCAGCCCCTGCCTATCTTCTACAGGTCGCAGAGCCTCCCGCACGTCGCGTTCTCCCGCGACGATCATTTCTGTCAGGTCGCCGATGAAAAGATCGACCGCGAGTTCCTCGTTAATCGGCATATCGCCCTGCGAGGAAAGGGGCAGCTTGGGAACTTTCAGCTCCGAAACTATGGCTCGAAAAGACCTATACAGGCTTGCAACCTCGCTGTCGTTCCTGCGACCTGCGTTCAGGTTCCGGCGAGCCAGTGTCTCGAACTGATCACTGAGGTGCTGAAAAACATGTGCAAAAAATGGAAATCGTAACGATTCCACAGCTGTAGTTGCCGCGATGTCGTTCGACTGCGCCGTGTTCGAATTTCCCCACTGGAGCAGCTTGGTGCATGCGAAGAATAGGGCTCTTCGGTCACTTTGCACCTGGGTCTCCGGCGAAAGTGCAGACGGTCCAACTGCCTCTGCGGTGCCGGAAGATGGAGGCGCGACTCCGCCAACGACGCCCTGAGAACTCAAAGGCTCTGCTGGATTCGACACCTGGCCGCGAACCATGGACGAGATGTTTAGCAACAAGTTCCCATTGCGATTGAGCTGGCCCAATAGCCTCCCGACGCGCTTTGCCAGCTCGTCAAGGAAGTAAGATTCCAGGTCGTTGTGAAATGTCGTTGTAGTAATATTCACAGCGGCCCGCAGGCTGCCACTACCTCCGACGACAGTTTTCCTTTTTTTCGTCCGCTTTTCTGCGGCGGCGACCAACCAAGACGATTTCTCGTCGTCTTTTCTGGTGTTCTGAGTCGCGACCTGGCTAAAAACGAACTTCGCGAATGTCGCGCCGACCTCGGAGTTTTTATCTGCGAGCTTGAGCAAAGAGTTCAGAAGGAATGCAGGAGAATCTCTCGCGGCCTGCGCGGCCGTCTGTTGCCCCGTGTTCCGCTGCAATCCTGCTTGGTCACTCATCTCGACCACCGCGCCATGGAGGACCCGTTGCAGTAGGGACGTCAACAATTTGGGTTCACCACTACCCACGATGCTTTCATGTAAGACATTCGACATAGTGCGAAGCTGGATGAGCTTCTTAAGACTGGGTAGAATCTGACCGTCACCTGTGGCGTCTTCACCACTGACGGAAGCATCGTCAAGATGAGCCACGCGCCACCCGTTTGGCTGCACTACGTACGGCACTGTAGCGTTGCTGTCGACAGCGCCCGTTAGCTGGACCAAGAACACGATAGATATGTCCAACGGCTTCTCGTGCGCGCTCGCAAGTGCACCAACAGGAGCGGACAGGAAAGGAGCGGCGAGGTCGGTGCTGTGTGCCCTATCTCCTGGCGCGCTGGTCGCAAAGCCAGTATCAGCGCCAGCACTGGGAGCCGATCGCAAGATCGCGGTACCACGGTCCGAGGGTAACACAGTGCGGCCCGCGCCAGGCTCGTCAGAAACGGGACCATCAGCTCTGTGCTCTTGGAAGAAGCGCTCGAGGTCGGCCTCGAGGGCGTGTCGCGCGGATTCGATCAGGTGCACCGTGTCGGGGTCCGCTTTCAGCAAAAGGACGTGGCGCCTGGTCTTGCTCGTACGGGTCGAGCGCTTCTTTCGAAGGCTTTTATGGTGCTTTTCGTGGGACTCTCGCAAAAACACCCGCACAATGTGCGATAGATCAGCAGACGCACGCACCTCTCGAAGACTTCGCAAGTCGACCCGTAGTTGCTTCAGGCCCATCAAACTGCCCACGTAGTTCGGATTAAGGGCACTGGAGAAGGTGGTTATTTGAACGCGCTGCACATTCACACGCGTTGGCGGGCCGGGGTCAGGAGCAGTCTCGTTCTCGGACGCGCCGGTCCTGGCCGCGGTCCCCACGAGGGAAGTAGGCGTTGCAGTTGCAGAAGCGGCAGCTACACCGAGTTGGCGCTTTGAAGAGTCGAGTATGACACTGTAAGTGCTGACCCAGGAAGGCGACGAAGCGTGTTCTTCCAGGGGCGCAAGAAGGAGATCCGCCAGTGTGCGTTTGTCCTCCGCTTTTTCCGGGTCACCAAAATACGTCCGATACAGTTCTCGTTCAAAGCTCGGCTTCTGTTGCATCTTCAGTTCTTGTCCTGCTGATCGATGTTGATGCACCAGCCACCACTCTTTTGCACGCGAACTTGCAAGGCAAAAGCTCTGCTGCAGGACTGCTATGACTGTATCGGGGTACATGTTTTCAAACAGTCGCCTGATGGAGCTTTCTGTAGCGGCGTCTTTCAAAGAACGTGTCGTCGACGCCTTCATCATGAGAGCCATTTTATTGCGCTGCGTGACCAACTCCTCCATGGCAAGCAGCGGTAATGTCTCGTCAGCAGAAAAGTGCGCAATCTTCTCCGGTGCGAGCACCATGTGTTGTGGGATGAAAGCTCGTAGCTTCAGTCTGACAGATTGAAGAACTTCGTTCTCCTCATGAGTCAGTAGATCTTTGGGGGAGAGACCGTACTTTTCCATGCGATTCAGTAGAGGGGTATCCAGTAAGTGCGGCTCTGGCTCCAAAATAACCAGCTTCGCTGTGCTCGCCACTTGCACCTTCGTGTGGTCGTTACCGAGGCCCAGGTTGACGTACTTTTGCCCGGCAAATACCGTGTAGTACTGGTTAAGGGCGTCATACACCGCTTCGTAAATCTTCGCAGCGTTTACCAACACAACCACTTCGCCAGATTCGAGTCCATGCTTGACTTTATCAATGCAGCGATTCAGGAACGCAAGAGACCCATCTTCCGGAAAGCTACTCCCAAACACGATCGCTACCTCTTTCTCGAGAATGCCTTTCGCCTGCAACACATTTACCACGCCCAAGCTGCCTGTGGTCTTGCCGCGAGGCATAATGAGTGGGTAGCGGACTGGGTGTTTGCCGTCAGGGTCGGGCTGTTGAAGGTTATCTTGCAGAAGCGCGTCAAGTTTAAGGCCATCTAGATGCTCGTGGCTCAGCTGCTCTTGTCCGCTTTCTGCCGCCTCCGCACCTTCAACAGCAACAGGCTCGATGCCCCGATTTAGGTGATGGAGCAGCTGGGCCTGCGCCATATTCTCCATTTCAGCCGAGATTCCCCCGAAGTTGCGCCGCACACAGTACGCCAACGCGTCGAGCTTAGCTTTCTGCAAAATGTCGGGCGGAACCAGGGAGGAGGCGTTATCTCTATTCCATTCGGCAGCACGCTGGTCGAGCATTTTGACAAAAGAATAGAAATCACGCAGGCCATAAGACGTAGCAGCGTCGCGCCCCTCACGCTGTGTCCCTCCGACGCCGGCAGCGCCATCCACGCTTTCGGCGCCATTTTCGCCGTCCTCCTCCATCCCGCTTTCCGTTTCGTTGTCCTCCTCCTCATCTACGGCTCCGACAACCGCTCTGTAGCCGTCCACGATGGACTCAATGAGTCTGTCTCGCTCAGACGAGGTGCCCGGCGACTGCTCGCCTGCATCTCTTTGGGCCGCCGCACCGAAAAGAAGGCTGCCTTCGTGTCGGAAGATGGCGCGGGCGGTGCGGATCATCTCCGCACGATTGAGTTCCTCGCGCATGACCAGAATCGCGCGGTTCATCTTGGCGGGATCCAGATTCCAATTCGACAGACCCATAAAGGCCACCTTGTCCGTGATTCTCTGGCCGAAGTGGCCGTCCGGAGAGATTCCCGTCTCGAGAAGCGGATGCAGAGCTTTCAGAGGAAGATGCTGACTCTCTTCCGCGAGCCCGACCTCGTCCAGAACGACGACGGCAATCTCTTTACGGAGCTCGGCCTGGGTAATGCGTTCCAACTCGAGGGCGTGACCGGCTTCTTTTTGCGAAGCTGGTGTCACGCTTGCTGCGCAGCTCGCATCGCAATTTTCGTCACGGCCAGATGAGGGCTGCTCTTGCTGGCGAGAACCCTCTGCTTGTGCGCCCTCCGCTGCCACTTCGGTCACTGCTTTCTGCACGAGTTGCTGCTGCACCATGCTCGCCTTTTGAAAAATGTCCAGAATTGATTTTGCTGTGGAGTGCGGGGAGCATTGATTCGTCTGAAATGCCGTTCGCATTAGAGGTGCAAAATGCGTGGCATGGAGATTGGTATGATTGAGCGTCACAGTGGAAAGTGAGACAGAAGCAAGTTTGACAGCGCGGCTCGTATCGCAGTTCTGCCTCACAAATTTATTTTTTCAATTGCTAGTAGTAGCACGAGCGGAGATACAAAATTTTTCATTCGGAAGTCAGAGGTCTTGCAACACAATGCTACTGCTTTCCTCGCACGGATGGGCAATCTGTGGGTTCTCCTTAAAGAAAAACTGCGTGTGAACTCACAACCTTCATTCCAAGCCTTGTGTTAATTTTGTTTCTCGTTCTTGAGAAGAGAATCGTCATGTTGCCAAATGTAGTTCCACCATGCTCTGTTATGTAGTATCGCATCATGCCCAAACGTAATTCTTTATGGTGCTTCAAATAATCAATCATTTGACACCATCCATCCCAAAGCCACATTTGTTGCGCGCGTAACCGACCGAAGTCCTCATCTCGCTGAAAGAGCGGGACAGGCGAAGAGCTTCCCGTCATAACATCTTGCACGATAGCCTTGCCCAACGATTTCGAGCTGCCGGGCTTTCCCACGATGAACACCGGGATGCGCAACTGCGCACACACGGCCAACAGCATTACGTTCTCCAAGAGCGCTTCGTTTGGCGCCAGGCGCCGTTCTGCGAGGTAGTCAGCCAGATCTGCTCTGAAAACTTCCTTGAGAGCAGCCGTAGCGCGCTCGAACTGCTCCAATTCGCCGGGAACGAATATGCTGTTTTCGGCCAGAAACTGAATTCGCTTCCGGACGGGAAGGCTCAGGAAATACGCGAAGTGCAAGCCCAAGGGAACAGCGTCGCTGATCAACTGATTTGCCTTGGCATAGGCGAGGTCGCTAACTCGCAACTGAATCGCGGCAGCCCCCTTGGCAGCAGGTACTTCTGAAGGTCCCGCGGCGCCGCCATCGTCGCGGACCCGTGCTCCTTGTCCCTCGTCGTCGACTTCCATTGCGTCTCCAGGTTGAGCAGTGTCTGCACCGTGTTGTTGAGAAGGTTTCTTCCAACTCCTTTCTCCGACAGGTGAAACCTTAAATTCTGTCCCCGCCCGAGGTATCCACTGCAGATATGTCTGCGTCGGGAAAGGTGCAGCCTCGTCGTGCTCCCTAACATTTTTGATTGATGTTTCTACGCCCTCTGACAGTCATACAATTACAAAGATCCGTTTTGCATGAGTAGCAAAAACTGTTTCTGCGCACCTCGAGAGAGGATTTCTTACGCACAATAAGCATTGCAATAAAGCTTCCCTCGCAAGAGTTGTGAAATTTGGTTTCATGCGCATACTTACTCCAGATCCTGTGTGCCATCGCCATACATGACAAACTTCTGTGTTTTCCCTTTTCCAGAATCAGACATATTTGAAGTTGATACGGAGCTCGAACTCATTGTGCGGCCACCTCTGTGTGATCCCTCCACAATCTGGCACGCGAGCTGCTTCTCTCTTCGCTTCCGCCAGGGTAGAGAATCTCAGGCGGCCGGTGGAGGGGGGGTATTCGGCGAGATACACGTCCGACTGCGATTCCCAGGCATCTTCCGAAAAATCCTCCATCAAGCGGTGGTGGATATTTTCGAAGTACTTCTGCCTCAAGTACGAGGTCGGGGACTGCAGTCGCTCCGCGAAAAAGCCAGTGAGATCCATGAAACGCTCCACATCACGCAGGCTAACCGCTCTGAGCACCGTTCGGTTCCCGCCCTCGGGATTGGGATCCTTCCCACGGATGAATTGATGAACGTTCAATATTTGGCTCAGGATCCTGTGGGTTGTTACCTGTTCGACGGTAAACGTGTAGAGAATGCGACGCAGCAGAGCCGCTGAGCTTCTGTTGTTGGCGTAACCCTCGCGCCAGTCAAAACACAAGGCTTTGTTCTCCAGCAGCTCAGCGTACGGAATATTAATGACGCCGGTAGGAACAGTCCTGGTTTCCCGCTGCTGTAAACCGGGTGTGCCAGCATCTCCTGTCCCATCGCCCAAATTCTGGCCTGCGGCGGCTGCATGTGGTTCCCTGAATTGCAACTGCTCGTGGAGTGCGGGTCGGCCATGCTTCTCGACCTCTGCAGCGACGTAGTCCTCGAATATTTTGAAATCATTCCGAAAGCAGTGGAACATTTCCGACAAACTTTGCCGCAGAGCAACCGGGATTAACCGGAAACTGCTGTTGTCACTGCCCTATCGAATGCAAATACGTCTGGGTCTGGAAAACGAAAACTGAAAGTGGTAATGCGTGTTTCTCAAAGGGCGGAAAAACCAGCGCTGCCGGAGCAGCGAAAGCAAAACCTTCTTTTTCATACAAAAGCGCAATTTGCAATGCGTGCCAGGCATCACAAAGCGTTCGAAAAGCTTGTCATGTTCGGCTGCCGTTGCAAGCGCTGCAAGTGCAACCATCCGTAATGGAGCATCAGTCATAGGTTTTTGGGTTCAGACATATTTGCAATGGATATGTCAGCGGCCTCCGGTTCGTCGCTATTATGCTGGACCGGAAGCGCGGGTGCTGGCTCTGCTTGCCCTGCATCGTTAGTGCCGGCATCGGTAATAACGGGTGGAGTTGGCTCCTGCTCGTTGGTGTGCTCGGCCTGGGAAGCAGCAGTGCCGTGATTGGCGCCCCCGACGCCCGGCCTTGCGGCATGCGCATGGTTCATAGCTTTTCTCACATAATAACTTTCATCGCGAAAGTACCGAAATGCACGAGCAAGGGCGCCTTTCAGAAGACGCTCTTTGTCCTCAGGGGGTTGGGATGAAGCAGCGATTGCTGTTTCGTGTCCTTCAGACGCAGCAGCAGCAGCGGGTCCCGCTGGACCTGACTCTGCGACGGCCGCCACCGCGCCGGAAGGGGGTGCAGCGGGGTCCTCTACCGATAAAAAAACATCCCGCTCGATGTCACGGATCTTGTTTTCTCCTTTCTTAGAATCTTTTCTTAACTTCTGAATTTCCAGCACCTTGTCACGCCAGACCTGTTCCTGATCCAGCACCACTTGCGCGGTCTCCGAATCACCACGACCACTACCTTCGCTGACTGTGTCTCGCTGCGCGCGGCTCAGAGAGGGTTTCGGAGCAGGTCGAAGTCGTCCATCGTGCAGCATAGATTGGATACGTCGCAGGATGATTTGGCGGGCGTAATCCGCTTCGGCGTCTTCAGGGAGAGAACCAAACTCGAATATGCTGTCTCTCAAGGATTATTCTGCGTAAAAACGTCCCCACCCCAGACTTGGCCTGCAAATCTACGGACAAGACTCAAATGTTTCGCATGCGTAGCGACGCGAGGAGCTTTTCGAAATACGGTCTGGCAGTGCCAGGCGTCATGCCGCAATCAGGATAAGATGGCCACTTGGTGGGGCAGCTTTACTAGTACGCTGAGCGCGATTATGCTTTTGGAAGCCCAAACTTTAAGTTGTCATGCGGAACAGCCAAGACGTGATGGTTTGTGCAGCAAAATTCCTCATTTGACTCTGGACTGTTTCTGTGCTGGAAAAAACCACAGTAAATAAAGCACACAGAATCCTGCTGGGTGGGGACGTTTTTACTCGGGATAGTGAAGGGGGCGTCCTCACCACACGGTACACTAGGTCCCGCATAGGACGAACGCGGGCTGCAGGATCGTCTTGTGGCGAGTCGTTGCTCTCCACCTCTTCGGCTGCGTGCCGGTAGCCAAGTCCAGCGCGGTGCATTTGCCTTCGAACGGCGAGTGGCTGCACTCGGTACGGGTTGCAGGCCATTGCGAGAAGCAGGCGGAACGGGAACTGCTCGCCTGTTTCGAAATTTCTTTCCGTGCCTTCCAACTCGCTGCGCAGGTCACGACCATGAAGTCGACCATTGGTCATCAATTCTTTCACCCCCCACACGACTTCCAACGACGTGTTTGCTTCGTCAAAGAACAGTAGTGTCTCCCGCACCCCCTTTCTTGCATTAAATCTTGCAAGTTGCAGTGCTTCCTTCACGTAGCTATTCAGTGCTGCACGACCGACGCCACCATGCACTTTCACAGTCCGCATTAATTTGAGTGGACTACCCTGGCCATCCATGTGCGTGCGACGCTCCTGGTTTGGCGCATGCAACTGGAGTTGCTGTCTGACTTTGGCGTAGTACTCTAGCAATGCAGTCTTCCCAATTCCGGTTTCACCGGATATGAAGACGGGGAGCCCGGCTGAGAAGCGCATGTGAATAGCGAGAATTTTTTGTAAAACGTCGCGCGTCAAAACAAAAGCTGGATCAGGGTCTGACAGGCTTTCTGGAACGTGATTTGCGTAGTCCCACAATACATCTCGTAGATGCTCCAGCAGCTGGTCCCGCGAGGCGTTGTCGATGTGGGGTCCCAGGAAGGTGCCCGACGCCCCAGGCGTAGTGTCGAAGACGGTTCGGCTTGGATCAGGATCCTCGATGGTGCGGTTTGCGATGGCATCTTCGATGTCCGCGGCAAGTACGTCTGCTACCGCTTGTTGGTCCGAAGTAAGTTCCGCAGGATTGGTCTTCCACCGAAGCAAAAATTCAGTGGCAGGTCGGACATCTTGAATATTGAGTTGCGCAAAAAGTGCAGAAAAGTTGTCCAGCAGTAGCTGCGCATTGTCCTTGCACCATTTTTTCATTCGATCCGAAGCATCCGGAGCCTGTGTTCTCGTCGAGCTTGAATCCGGGTTGGAATTCAATCTGACATACTGGTCGTTAATCCACTCTAGTACATTGGGGCTAATTGAACCGTGTCCGCCCTTCAATTTCTCCTCCTCCCACACCTGGGGCTGTCCACGGAGCGGCTTGTTTTTGGCAATGACAATGTTGTCGTCACGGAAGTGGAATCCGAAGTGCTTCAGAACCTGGTTCCTCGTAGGGATCAGGTACGGGTGCGCGCGCTCCTCCCATCCGCGGCGGTTGCGACTGGCGGCAGGTACTCCGCTGGAGGCGGCACCCGTCCCTTCGAACGTCTCAACAATTTCGCGGCTGGGAGTGGCAAAATCGATCGCGGCCAACCTTGCTCTTTCCATCGCGAAGTGCTTAAACGAATGCGCCATGGTCGAGTGGTTGCTGCCCTGCAGCCCTTCGTTTTGTTCCATTAATGTCCAAAGCGTGATCTTTTCGTCCAGAGCGAAATGCAAAAGCTCGTCGAGATACGCAATGAGCTTCACGAACGAAACAAGCACCGTCCATGTCGGATTTTCTTGCTCGCTCAAGGCAATAAGCCTTCCAAGTACGTTGCGGTCGCTCAACATCTCACCAGGAATTTCGTTTTCTTGTTTCTCGCATGGCGCCCACCCACGCGGCCGTGAGAAATGGGATTTTGGCTTCCAAAGGTCCCAGAGATCGTCGCTTTATCCACTCGAATAGCAAATGTGTGACGAGCAAGATGATCACTGGGGCTATTTTAGCTTGCAAACTACTACTTCTCGACGCTATACACAACGCTTCACATACGGTGCGCAAGTACCTTCTTCTTGAACTATACAAAGTAGGATGAGTGCCCATGTTGTTCTCCAAGACTAAAAATATGGGTCGGCAATCATGCAATCATAATCTACCTATTAATACATTCTTCAATCCCGCTCCCGCTTCGTTGCAATGATCCGGTACGGAATAAAAATTACATCATCAAAACGCGAATAGCCTGCTCTGCAGACATCATGACCTGTTGCTTCGATTCAGCGAAGTATTCCGCACCTCTGCCTTGTTCACCGACTCTAACACATTTGCACTGCGTATTCTGTCCTGGCTTCGATCGGGAAGACGCGCTGCGAACCAGGCTGCATCCCGCCAGATTTTGTTCGTTGCAGTTTCTATTTGCGGGCGATCCTGGTGTTCCTCTATATTGCCAACACCCAGGAGCAGAACATCGGCCTTCGCTTCGCCCCGAACTGCTTCGAGCTGCCAGCGCATCATGCGTTCTTGAATCCTCGCATTTTCATCGAGCGGTAAATTGCTTTGCGGGAGGACAGCGGAGCGATTCAGTAAAGCTTGCGGCGATGGCACATTAAAGACTTGCAGGTGTCGCGCGAACGACAAGCGGTCGCCCACCACCCATCGATTGCTCGACTCCACAAAAAGGCGGTCCCGGTCGCTGAAGCGCCAGACGCGGTCGCGGGCGTCGACCCACCGACGTAACACGACCAGCTTGAATAGCAGCTCATTGAGGAGAGTGTGGCGCATGGGCACGCCGGCACCGATATCTAGGTGCAAGGACACATAAAAGTTGTTATGTTCCATGGAATCGGTGGCCGTTGCCCCCTGCTTCTTGCTGTCGCCAGGGTGGTCTTTGTTTCCCTATCAAACCGAAAATTGCACTGCTGGCACAAGGAATCAAAAAGAGCGGCATCTTAATATTTCAAATCATTTTGCGAGTAAATTTTTATTTTTCTCAGGGTCACGCATAAGGGGCCTTTGAGGTATTGCACGACGAGCGAGCTGCGACAAATGGTTCAGATGTACTCGGCTAATCAAAACCTCAGACAACATACATTCTCAAAAAATAAGATTCTTTTTGATTACTAGCACGGGCTCCGATGGCACTTTCGATAGTATCATTCCTGCATGGAGATACGCCGAAACCTCGTCCAGAATGCGAGCACAAAGGCTGTCTTCGCTGGGTGGGGAATAAACCGGAATGTTTATTCGTAGTGGTCGGGGCTGAAGCCCACGATCTCTCAAGGTTTGCTCGTCGGCGAGCTGAAGAATATCACAAGAACAAGCTAGCAGAGTTGTAATGCAAAACGATGACTTTTATGTAAAAAAGTAATGCAACACAGAGCCCCACCGCAATGCAGAAAGAAGAAAATATAGAAGCTCAAGTAGCTCGTTGTGCTTGACGGTGTACAGAACTACGGAATGGCAGCGCTCTCAATGTGAATGCAGAGTCTCCTTGTCGCAGTGATATTGCGTTGTCCCGCTGGTTGCAACCGAGTGGACGTCCTCTCTCATGCAAGTGAATGCGACTAGACACAATTTGATGGATTTGCTCATGACAGATTGTTTCGTTCTACCACAACGATATGCAAAAACGGTACTGCTAGCTCAATTCGGTGTGATACAGCCTCTCAACCATCCAGGATTTGCCGCCACCGGCATCTTCACTGAAAACTGCACGAGCGGCGCGGTCATCCCCCGCTCGTGGGGCTTCGAACGATTCCCAATCTAGTGGATTAGCTGGGACTTTTTGTTCCAGTTCCTCTCGGGCGTTCTCCAGGACGCGGTCCTCAAAGTGAGCCAACAAATTGCTTCGTTTGCGTCCGCTTGGGTGCGAATGGATTACCAGAAGGGTTTTCATTTCCTCGATTTTCATTATGGCGTCATCCGCTGCAGCAAAGTTACCTCTTTCGCTAGCCGTCGTCGAAGTCTCGTCCTCGTAGTGTTGCGGGGAAGAGGGACCTCCCCCGTCTCGAGCCGGCTCTGTGACTCCGAGATAGAGCGTGCGCCGCAGGCTCAAGTAAGTTTTTGTGGTAGAAACAGCCACTTCATAGGAGAGCCGTTCGACATTCAGCAGGAAGAATAGCGCTGTCGGATCATGTTTCGAGCGCTCAACAGTTTTGGGCGATCGAAACGCTCGGCGCAGAAAAAGCTCCAGTTCGGCAGCCGTCGTGCTTGGCGAGCAGAAGAAGACGCTTTCGGGCCCCAAACGCCGCAGTTTGGCCTGATGCGCGAGAGACGTGACGAATTCCAGTGGCTCATCCCCAAACACGACCCGGACCCAAAACTTGTGCTGCCGGTGATTTTCCTCGGAGCCGCCACTAGGCAGGGCCGCACTGCCGTCCGCTCTCAGCAGGGCGGCCGCGTCAAATTCTTCAACATCGCGGACGTCATCATAGTCGTATGCAACTGGAATTAAAGCCTGCGACTTGCTGGCCTCGCTAACGAATCGCGCAGCAGACGCTTCTTGTTCCGCATGCCGCAGCAGGGCACTCAAGACAGCTGGCAGCCGCTCGACGGACAAGCCGCCGCTCTGGACATCAGTCGTCCTCTTGGTTCCATCAAAATCAATGAGGGCAGTGGCTACACTATCGTTGGCGACCTCCGGAGCACCTTCACGTGTGTGTGCAAGGCCTCCGCTTTCTGACGAAGACAATGCAGCAGACGTTGTGACCGAAAATTTCATCTTTCTTCTCCAAAGTTTTGCAATCCGCTTTGCGAGTGCGCCTAGCACCATTTCGACCTGGCCTGTCAAATAGTTATCGCCGCCAAGAGAGACAAGTGCTGTGCCCTCGTCGGAGTCGGTTTCTTCGCCGTCGCAGTCGAGACCGGAGAAGTCACTGGCCTTCAACAAATAGGGTGGCGCATCCAGGATCTTCTTCACAGTAGGAGGATTCCCTTCGTGTTCGTCGGTCTCAGCATCTTCCAATATCTCCTCATGTGCCGGATCAAGGTCGCCATGGTTTTCAGGACGGATCCTACGGAAAAGCACACCCATATCACGATGTTACTTGAAAAAAATTGTTAGTGCAGATTTTCGAAAACCGGCTATGGTCTGTGCTGCAGCAACACTCTTAATACCAGGTCCCAAGCTAGTAATGCTAAAACCCATTACAAGCCGGGGTGAAACCGGTCAAGGAGCCACTGCGAAACTAGTACCGCCTCCACAGCTGAGCGAAGTTGGGGTCATGGTCGCCTGGTTCAGGACAGTCACTACGAGCAAGGGACTGATGCAAGAAGCGGGACTACTATCCTGGGTGAAGAAGCAGAAGTGCGACTACTAGTATCCTGGGTGAACCGCAGAGGCCTAATTCTTTTCGTACATACCTCCTCTCCGCATAGGCATTACAGTCGCCATTTTGCATGACAGGTTTCCACCCTTATTGCGATGCAAAATCAAAATAGAAGTTTAACGTAGGTCACTGTAGCCGGAGCGAACTGCGAGAGGGTGATATCCTTAGCCTGTCTTTTTGGGTGCAGTAAAAGAAAACGAAGCGAAGATATTTCCTAGCCAGAATGGGCGCGGCGCGTGAGTTGTTGATATCTCTGCCCACGGGGTCCTATCGCCAGCATGCCAGAAAAATAGCAAATGCACAAATCTAGTTTTTTCATTCTGGTATGGGTGTGCTTTTTCTGTAGATAGGACGGAAGCCGGAAATACTTTCGTCTTCGCACTCGAGCAGCCAGGCCACCCGCCGTCGTGCCAGCGGATCTTTTCCGATTTCGGGGATCAGCCGCCCAAGGTCAAGGAGCTGCAGGGTAGTGAATCGGTTGAAGAACTCCGGAAACTTGGAGCGCGCTGACGTGAACTCGTCCTGCCACAGATGCTCCACTTGAGTCCGCAAGTTGCGCTTGATTGTTCGCAGGAGTGGCAGGAGGTCCTCCCGGGATTTGGCACCGAAGTATACAGTCGCCTCGCTCTCGAGTTGCTCGTCTCCACCTCCTGCGCTGCCTCTTCCTCCAGCCCCTGAGCCGTGTGCAGTAACTAGCTGCCGAAAATGCAACTGTACTAAATAGTTCGTTGATAATTTGACAGGGCTTACCCGTACGACCACGTCGTAAAAAAGAGGAATTTGAAACTCGTAGCGCAGCCGGCGCAATTGATCACCAAGCGCGATCAGTTCCTCAAAGAGCGTATTGAAGTCGCGCAGTTGCTCCTGCTTGTCGTTTGTGCTGGCGACGAGCTGCACCTTCTCCCACAAGCTCCGCAAGTCGGCAGCCGCATACTTGCGCGCAGGCTGGGTCTTGGCTTCGTCAGTATGTGAGCCCTTGAGAGCTGTCATCCGCGGAAGGAAGGCCGACGGAAGGTAGCAATCGTCTTCGTCCTTGTTCTCCGAATTGTCGGAAGCTCTCGCTGGCGAAGGCCTGGCCTGCACTGCAGTGGCGGAGGACGAGCTGTGCGTTTGTTCTTCGGCCGATTGTTCCTGCTGTCGCGGTCGCGTCGTGCAAGTTAGAGTGAACTGTCCGCTGTGCATATCATAATGAAAAGATGCCCCCTCCATAACACTCAGTGGGTTTGCTTCTGTTGCGTTATTTCTAGTTGTATCTCTCGCTTTGATGTATAGAAAAAATCAACATCATAATATTCATCCACACAGTGCTGACGCACTTCATGCACATGCTCGTGTCCGGGGGTCCGCGGCCGCTTTCCTTTGGGGTCCGCGGCCGCTTTCCTTTGGGTGTAGGAGGTGAGGCTCTTTTTCTTTGCGTACGCCAGCAGGTTCACGACCTGATCTGAGGTTTTCAGCTTCTCGTCCTTCTGCCTGTTGTCCACCAAATTTCGGAACCAGGCTTCGTTTTGTAGACCCTCCTCAATCTTCTGGACCAGTCGCGCGTCCTCTCTCTCGAACGGAAGAATTTTAAACAACTGCGATACGGACACCCTTTTTACGTCCTGCGGCTCGCTTTCCCCACTTCGCGTCTCCTGTTTGTTTTCCCGGAAAAATTCCACGAGCGGCTTCAGCTCCACGAACAGTGTCGCGAATGTGTCGATCTTCTGCACGGCGAAAGAGCTCTCTTCGCCATCCAACGCCACTTCCACCATTTTCCGTACCTCTGATTCGTTCAGCGCCAGGGCCTTGTTTGTGTCCTTCAGAAGCCACTCGATCAACTTCGAGCCAGTGATCGCCTTCTCAAACACCTTTAGCACTGATAGGGACGTTGGCATTTGTTGCAACAGACGCGCCAGCAGCTTCCAATTGGCGGGCTTCCGGTCGCCCTCGCCGGCACCTGCTTGTTCCCGCATCCACTTATCATCCTCTTCACTTTGATCAAACAGATCCATGTTCTTCTTGGAGCTGTTGATCATGCCCGGCTGCACGCCATCACGGTCAGAGTATATGAATTGATAGTGGTCTGCGATTGTCAGTCTGTTCTCGAACTCAGCGAGCAAGTTGGTGGCGCTATCTTCGCCAGAGTGGTGGGGGCTGCTCGCTTCCTCCAGTTCGTTTTCGACTTGCATGTCGTCTGCGTTTTCGGGCGCTTCAGTCCCTTCTGGGGACCCGGGTCGTGACTGGCGCCGCGGGAGGGCAAGTGGCGCGCTGTGCACAAGCTCGCATCCCGCCGCCCTTTGTATGTGGTCTCTGGTGCGCGATACAAAGCCTTCAATTTCCGGCAGAAGCTTGTGGCGCGCTTCTTCTAGATGGTGGCGCACCAGCACCAGTTCGTCGACGAACTGCACAAGCGGCGAATCGCGAAGCGATTTTTCAAGCATGGCAGGCGTAGTCGTGGACTCATCGTGGAGCTCTTTCCTGATGATCTTCCAATCTAGTCTGGACGCACCTTCATCTCCGTCTTCTTGAGGATTGTCAACATCATTTTCGTTTCCACGAAAATGAAGAAAAAGCGACAGGTGCCTGCGAAATAGTTTCCGCGTGGCGAGCGGCACTACGCTTCTTGTCCCAATTCTCTCCACCGCTTGCTGCTGCTGCTCGGCCGGACCGCGTTCCGCTGCGAGAACAAACCGCCCGCCACCAAAACCGTGTGCGCCTACCCCCCGATGCGC